AGTTAGAAAGTTAACAATTTGATCTCATGTACTGTCCTGCCGTGTCTTAGTCTCAAGAGTTTTTCTGAATTAAAATTTGAAGTGGTTTTTTTACGTTTATTTGCATGCTTTCCAACGTTTTCCCCGTGATCTTTCATGTTTTCAGCACCTGGCGTTGGTTGAATTGTTTCTCGCGCTGTACAACTGAATAAATTTGCTGTGGTTCAATTTTGTTACAGGTATCTAGTAAAAATCGCCTCACAAGCTCAACAGGGAAAGCCTCTTCCTTTGTCACTTAAATATTTGTCACGAAAAAGTGAGCAGTGTCCAGTAATAGACGGAGAGGGATTTTTGGAGTCTGGAGTGCAAAGAACAATTTACCAGGACAGGACCAGCAGGTGGGAAACTTTAACTGCCCTTATCCCTTCACAAAAAATTGGGAAGCCTGTAAAAGGGCTCAACTAACAGGGCTCGACACTAACTTTTCAAACTTTTTACCAGCCAAGTGGTAAGTGACAACTTAAATCTTACAACAGTTTCAGTTTGTTTACTAGCCAAACTGGTTGGTGGATATCGAAACCACTAGCCAAAACTGAATTTGTACTAGTTTGTGGCTAGTTGGCTACCGTTAATGTAGAGCCCCGACTACACTTGAAAGCCGTTTGGTGGCAATCCCGCGCGATACCCCAAAATTTTCGCTTTTTCAAACTTAAGTGCCCTTGTAGCTTGAATGGTAAGCATTCCATAAAGGAAGAGAAATGAGCTGTCAAAACGTAATTTAACGTTTCTTCGCGTTCCTTCAGCGAGGTGAGGGCTGTTGCAGGAAAGCTTCAAATAAAAATATCATCGGGAATGGACTCTGCTGATGCTTGGAATGAGCTGTCTGTAGACTTATTACGTTGTGCTAAGGTAAGGCGGGAGGCAGGGTGAACATAAAACCAGCTGAATTGTTGAGAAATGTTCAGTTGATTGATTCTCAAAAGTAATCCAAGCTTTTAAGTAGTTTTTCTCTTTAAACCGCGCGCCAGTAAACCAATAAGCAGCAAAATTGGCCCAATCATTACAATCTTGCACTCGTGCCTTTTCATCTTTCACGGGCCCTTTCCATTGTTTTCCTTTTTTTGTTGGCTCTTACGATTTATTACGTCATCTTTTGTCGGTGGATTGGGCATTGCGTTTTTCCCCCGCTTTTGACCAATCGAGAAGTCTTGAGTTCTGATCGGTTCTCCACGATATTTTCCTTTTTCGGATTGAGCGTTATGATTCCGCGATCTTATTTGGTAGTGGGCGGAGAAATCAAATTGGGGTGTGTACAGCTTTTGTATGACTAAGGCCTAGTTTACACGTCGCGCTACAGTCGAATTTAATTCAGACGAATTTAATGGAATTAAATTCGTCGTTCCGTCGACATAAATCGTGGCGTGGTTTTATGCGTCGAAATCAATACGGTCGAATTTAATTCTCTTCCCATATGCAGAGTCTCTGGTCAGAGGTGTCACTCAAAAAGCTCGCCCCGGGTCGCCGCGGGCTCCCCTCAGGTCGCTGCGGGCTCGCCAAAATAAATTAAGAAAATGTATGCATTTCATTCGACGCGACGCTAGTGCGACGTTAAAACTGAAGACGCGTTATCGATATTTTATCCGTCTTACCAAGACGGATAAAACGTCTAGGACGAATTTGATTTACCAGACGAATTGAATTCGTTTTAGACGTCGCGCTATCGTCGAATTTAATTGCTTGTGGGACCTTGAATTAAATTCGTCTGAATCAAATTCGACTGTAGCACAACGTATAAACTAGGCCTTACTCTCTGGTTTACTCGGAATGTATTTTCGACATCAATACTGCATTAAAACTCTTTTCTGTTTTGAAACTTTTGCATTCATTTCAGTTTGCTTGAGAATGGAATTCTTTGAACGTGGTCTCGGCTTATAGCCGAGTATTTTCAATTTACATGTTTTAAGAAGCTTCCCGATTAAAACAGACTGAAGTTTTCCCAGAGCCGAATATC